AAAATGTTCCTTTAATATCTCCAATTTTCTTGAACATAATTTCTTTTCCCTTTCTATTATTTTCCTCTATTTCTTTGCACTGTTAATTTTAGGGGCCCTCTTGTTTCTCCTTGCTATTCTTTGGAAGTCAGCATTCAGTTTTCTGTAACTTTCCCTATCTCCCTTGCATTTTGTTTCCCTTCTCTTCTCTGCTATTTGTAAGGCCTCGTTGGACAGCCACTTTGCTTTCGTTATGATCCTCCATCCATAGTTCTCTATCCATTGTCCACCAAATCGAGTTCCTTAAATCTGTTCTTCACTTCCACTGTGTATTCATAAGGGATTTGGTTTAGATTATACCTGACGAGCCCTGTGTGTGTGTGTGTTTGTGTTTGTTTGTGTGTGTTTGTGTGTTTGCGGATCCTTTTCTCTAGAAATTCAACCCGGGATGTGATGAATTCAGAGTATCTCTTATACAACTGAACTATGGTTTTCCTTTTTCTTACAAAAAATGAAGATATGTGTGTGTTTTCATTAAGTAGTCAGACTGGTTGAGAAATGGATATGCTGTGATAGATGTAGCAGGGGAACCAATATCAGAAAACATTTCTGGGTTTTATTTGAAGAGAAAATTGTTTATGCTTTTGGTGTGTGAATAGATTGCTGTCTATCCTGGGGCAGGGAAATGCTGAACTGTACCCTCAAAGCCAGATGACTTGCCTTTCAGTAGCATTCCCAGTTTGTTTCTCAGATGTTGTTGGACTACAACCTCTAGAATGTCTGATCTTTGTTCACACTAGCTGGGGTTTCTGGATGTCCAACCATATCTGGAGACCTAAGTTTAGGAACCACTACCTTTGAACAAACTAGACAATTGCCCATAGTAGGCTTTGATCTGGTAGAGCAGTCAGACTAGGACTTAGGGCAGAAACCGAGAGCTGTGCTCTGCAGAATGAGTAGGAAGGCTCAGAAATGCAGCACAACTGCCATGCCACACTTTGAAGTAATTGATAATCACATTGCCATCTATCATTACATGTGCGGTTTAAAATTACCTAAGAGAACTACTGGCTTCTTCTGGGCTGCCTTTGGCTTGCAAGGATTTCAGTGTATTATAACAGCTTCTTTTTTCCCCTTATTTTGCTGTAAGCATGTTCAAGCAGGTATTCAGCATCTCAGTCCTTTATGAAGAAACAGGTTTTGCATGCCTCAGTTATTCTCTAACCAGCTTTTCCTCTTTATGCATGAGGACAGTGATCTGGAGTGAAAGGGAAAATCAAGCTTTCATGTGCTCTAGTGAGGCTTGGCTAGTAAAACTGTTTTGCATTGTTTCCTTATATGTGGATTCACAGGTCATAATGATAAAAATATTGGTCTGTTTGTTTGCTTTTTGATCAGGGTTAATGTTAAACTTAGGGCAGTACGTTACTTAGTTCACAAAATCTGTATTTGCTATATCTGTTTTTTTTAATGAACTTGTTGGTGAGTAAATGCAGGCATTTACTCTGGTCAGATGTTTTGCATGCAGTGAAGTGAAGAGTTTATTGTAACTCATGCATTTGTATATATGGACACTTGCAAGTAAAATGGAAATAAGTGGTCCATGTAACTCATAAGACAAATACAATATCAAAGATGGACATGATAAAGGACAATATCCCTCACGGAGGTAAGAGGGATGGCTTGTAGACAAAGGGCCTTTTCGGCAGCTGCCCTCAGACTATGGAATGCCCTCCCAGCTGGGATTCGTTTGGCGCCGACGCTGATGACATTTCAGTGGCAGGTCAAAACCTTCCTGTTCTAGAAGACTTTTAATTGAAATAACATCAATCGTATCTATTCTAATTGTATTTTAATTGTTTTATTGTATTTTAATTGAATTTTAATTGTTGTAAGCCGCCCAGAGACCTTTGGGTAGAGTGGGCGGCATATAAATTAAATAAATAAATAAACATTGAATCTTCTAAGTGATGTAACTTTGACATTTCTGTACAGCAGTTTTGCTGGTTTTTCTCTTGCATGTTATTTGTTTGCTTAGTTATAATTTGTACAGTGGGGTCTTGACTTGAGAACTTAATCCGTATTGGAAGGCCAATCGTATCTATTCTAATTGTATTTTAATTGTTTTATTGTATTTTAATTGAATTTTAATTGTTGTAAGCCGTCCAGAGACCTTTGGGTAGAGTGGGCGGCATATAAATTAAATAAATAAATAAATAAACATTGAATCTTCTAAGTGATGTAACTTTGACATTTCTGTATAGCAGTTTTGCTGGTTTTTCTCTTGAATGTTATTTGTTTGCTTCGTTATATTCTGTACTCATGATTGGGACTGTGCTTTTAATTCCATTGTTAATTTAAAATTCTTTTAAACATTTATGGCTAATGGAGATAATCATTGTCCAGTATACTCTTGCAGAACTCTGCATTATGCGAATGATGTTCTCATAATCATCTTAACTTCTAGTGGATGCTCATGCTTGTTTAGAACTAGAATCCACTTATTTGTCTTTCTAGTGGTCCAGAGTATCATAAAACTCCCTTTCAACAACATATTTCAAATCATGGTGGATTTGATTTAAATCAGATTGATTTATTTCACAATTTAAATTTAAAAAGTTGATTTTTTGAACTATTTAAATAAAAAGATTTTTTTAAATTTAAATCATAGTAATTTAAATCAATTTGATTTTTAATTTTTTTTATATCCACCCTGTTTCAAATGGAGTTTTCCTTCACTGACTAGCTTTTCAATCTGTACATGGTAATTGGGAATACTGTACTGTAACATAGATGATCTGCGCCTTGGTCTCCAGTGACAGATCCTTACATTTTAGGATCTTGTCTGCTTTCTTCATAGCTTGTCTTTGAGTCTTCTTTCTTAGCTGCAGTCTCCTTTTGGACTGACAATCAAATGAGGTTAAAAAAAACCTTGATCACTATCTGAAGAAGTGGACTTGTCCACAAAAACATACATTAAAATATAACAGTTAATTTTTAAGATCCCACAATGTTTTTGTCTTCTTCGTTTTTGCTTTGTTTTTGCCTGACATAATTTTCTTTTGAATTTCTTTGTTACATTAATGTACCCAACATATGTTTGCAATATGATCTCTAGTGCCTCCTAATTTTCTGAACCTGTCTTGGAATATCTGGCATTTCTAGTTCAATTTGTAATAAAGGGTTTTGTGATAAAAATATGAGCATCATTTTGCTTGTGTGTGAAATAGTTCTGTAATTACTATGGTCTTTGGCATCTCCTCTTTTTAGAATTAAAATATATATTGAAGATATTCAGTTTATGGGCCTTTGTTTTGCTTTCATATTTATTAGCATATTTTGTTAAGAATTAGATAGATTCCATCTAAGTAACTTAGAATAGTTCTACTGGCATCTCATCTATTATAATGGTTTACTTTTTTTTTTAATTTCCTCCTCTACTGTCTTAGTCCCGTCCACTTTATTTCACTCACACCAGGTATTGTGATGT